ATTGCTTGTTAGCCTACCTCTGATTAAGCCGGAGCCAGAATCTTGAAGGTTCCTTTGTGAGGATGTTAGAGGAGTCCTCTCTAGTCTCATGCCTATATCCCCAGCTGCTATACTACATGATGGCAGGCACATAAGTCTTCCTAGTCCTGTATTATTCCCAGTCTCCTTTTTTTTTTTTTTTAAAAATCTGGTCTGTGTTTGTTGCTGTTGTTAAGGGGACTTGTAATGTAATCTTCTCACTTTTAACATACTTAAATTTTTTTATTAAGATGAAGTTTCAATTTTTGAAATGTAATTCATCTGCAGTACATCTATGAATGTAGGTTACCATGTTTTGGGCAGGGATGTTCTTCCTGCATGTCTATATTAACCATGTTTTCTTTCGTATAGAAAATGGCTACGAATGCTTTAAAGCTAGGTTAGAGTCTCTTTGAATTGTATTGACACAAATGTTATAAAGTGTTATTTGAAACCAATGATGATAAAGTGCAACTTAAGGACTTAAGGAAATGCTGGTATCAGATCCAAACCAGGGGTGAGACATTGTGAATAAATGAGTCTCTTTGATTCCAGTCTCTACTTGCATGAGATAAGAACAATGAATATAATAAGCTCACATAGGGCGCCGGGTTCTAGTCCCAGTTGCTCTTCTTCCAGTCCAGCTCTCTGCTGTGGCCAGGGAGTGCAGTGGAGGATGGCCCAGGTGCTTGGGCCCTGCACCCGCATGGGAGACCAGGACGAAGCACCTGGCTCCTGGCTTTGGATCAGCACAGTGCCGGCCGTAGCAGCCATTTGGGGAGTGAACCAATGGAAGGAAGACCTTTCTCTCTGTCTCTCTCACTGTCTATAACTCTACCTGTCAAATAAATTTAAAAAAAGCTCACATAATTAATCTGAAAAATGCATATTATTTTAATTATATAGGACTACGATAGGCTTAGCAAGATGGATAGATAGGCTTAGACTGGTTACATTCTTGGACCCACTGCATTGGTTTATGTTTTCCTCTTCCCAGTGACTTTTTTTCCCATTTTGTCAATGGGCAAGCCAAAGGTGATTACTGTCTTTACAGAGAAGCTTCTGAGAAGATTGAATTCCTTGCTCTGGTCTTCTTGGATTTATAAGATCTTACAGTACCTGTCTCTGGGGTTCCTGGTCTCCTTTCTTTTTTTTATTTATTTTTTTAACTTTTATTTAATGAATATAAATTTCCAAAGTACAGCTTATGGATATGCCAGGGATACAGATCTCATCATGCTGTTCATTTTTTTAAAGATTTATTTATTTATTTGAAAGGCAGAGTTACAGAGAGGCAGAGATGGGGGAGGGGTCTTCCATCTGCTGGTTCACTCCCCAATTGGCTGCAAGGGCTGGAGATGCGCCTATCTGAAGCCAGGCACCAGGAGCTTCTTCCGGGCCTCCCATGTGGGTGCAGGGGCCTAAGGACCTGGGTCATCCTCTACTGCTTTCCCAGGCCACAGCAGAGAGCTGGACTGGAAGAGGAGCAACTGGGACTAGAACTGGTGCCCATATGGGATGCCGGCACTGAAGTTGGTGGCTTTACCTGATAAGCCACAGTGCTGGCCCCTATGCTATTCATTTTAAGACAACCTACACTTGGCTTCAAAGTGACACATGGGTGGCAATCTGTCATTGAATGCTGCTGAAAAAAAACTGCATCTCAAAATCTGAAGAAAGCCATGTTGTACTAAAAACTCAAAGATATAAGGGCTTTTTGTTGAGCATATTGGCAAGATCATACTTGAGCGTAGTTCACCACTGTTAAGTTTTAGAAGCATGAGCAAATGCCCCATAATATCAATATGAAGATTGGCTGGGGTTTTCACTTCAGAACTGGTCACAAGTCCATGGTTCCAGGGTTGAAAGGCTAAGGCTTCTATGCCTTTATGCACTAAGTTGGGGATTAAAAAGAACAGGGTTCCCACAGCCTTCTGGACGTTTTTGCTGACTTCTCACCCTGATTCATAAAAATGGAAGTCAATTATTGAACTGTTCCCTACCTGCAACTCCCTACTCTCCATGACTAAATAAATATTTAGAGCTATTGTTCGGAAGGTCATGAACTCAGAAGAGATGGTGAGACAGAAATATCTTGCTGGGAGACTATAATATAGGATGTAAATTCTGTCCTACTCCGGGGATCCTGTGGCCTTCCTGGGGAAAGTGCTGGGTTGGGATGAAAGTGATTTGACAGTGAATCAGTTCTTTGACAAATAACGAATGTTTCTCAAGTGTATCCCAACATGTTTCCTCTACTTTTGTTTTTTTTCTACCTCCCAGGAACATATGCATGTTGAATGATAATAGAGTATCAGGTGAAGGCACTGAGTTCCCAGGGAAGAGGCAGAGAAAGGGCTCTGACAAAGCGTTCAGTTTGCAGGGGTGGCCATGCATTGCTGGTGTGGAACTCTGTTGGAGGTGGCAGAAGCATTGTCCTATCTACGAGGAAGGCACTTTTCTTGTTGGTGATGATACTCCTTATTTGCTTCCAAATTTCCCCAAAATTCTGAATGTTCCATTCCCTAGTACCAAAAGGGGGCTGCAAATGACCATCTTCAAGATAAATTGAGAAATTGTATCCAGTTGCAGTGAAAGAATCTTATCTTTAGTTGGTTTTTAAGTAGCTTAAATGAGGTCAAGGACCATGCCTAAAGTTGTGTTGAAATCCTGACTGAGCTTGGATTAGGTCCTTGACATTTAACTGATTCCAATGCCTTTTCTACAAATGATGAAATATGTAACCGATTCAACCATTATTCCTGAGGTCCCACTGCCACCTGTTTAGCAGAGAAACCTTGATAAATGAGGCAGAGCAATACGTTATTTTGCTATGCCATTTACTGTTTAAAAACAACTAAAAGCAAGCGAACAAAACCTACCAAAAAAAAAAAAAAAACAAAAAGCAAGGGTACACAGAAGGTGTGTTATATATAGACTGATGTCAGACAAAAACCTGAATTGCATACTTCTTTCCCCTGCAGAAAAGCAGTCACAGAATGTATTTCCAACTCTTTTTTGCATATACACAGACACACACACACACACATATTTCTCTACTTACAATCTCGCCTAGTTCCTCCACTTCCTCCAATCCTGCCCCTAGGTTTTCTGTAAATTTTCATTAGGTCTTCTTTGTGCAAGAGTGTAACACAGGGGACGGTGCAGTGGGTTAAGCCGCCATCTGCAGTGCTGGCATCCATATGGGCGCTAGTTTGAATTCTGGCTGCTCCACTTCCGATCCACCTCTCTGCTAATGTGCCTGGGAAAGCAGCAGAGGCCCAAGTGCTTGGGCCCCTGCACCCATGTGGGAGACCTGGAAAAAACGCCAGGTTCCTGGCTTCAGCCTGGCCCAGCCTCAGCCAGTTGACCATTAGGGGACTGAACCAGCAGATGGAAGATCTCTCTCTCTCTCTCTCTCTCTCTCTCTCTCCCGATTTTCTCCCTCTCCCTCTCTTTCCCCCACTCTGCGTGTGCACACGTGTATGCACCTGCGTGCGTGTGTGTGTATGTAATTCAGACTTATAAATAAATAAATTTAAAAAACAATGTAACAAATATAAATCTAGAAAACTAGGGAAAACTAGAAAAATATGGATCTAGAAAACTAGGGCTCTAAACCAGCATTGACATGAACAGTTTTCCAATGGACAAGCAGAAGTTAATCCTGAGTTCAAGCTCATGTTGAAAACCCCTATGAGAGCCAAATTGAAATTGTAACCTTTAATGAACCTGATCTGGAAGTAGAAAAACATGTCTCTCCAATAATTATGAATTTTAATTGCTGAGATCTTCTATGATGTAATTAAAGTAATTCATGAAGTATTTCTTTTAAGAAATATAGTCCTAATGAAACTGCAGATAGGAAAAATAACTATCTAGGTAGACTAGGACTAGGTGGGTCCAATTAAACAATGCCTAACATGTGAGTGATGTGTTCCCAGGGTCAGTTGAAGCTTGTGGATCAGCTGCAAGATGAGATCTCAGTGTGCCTTCTGGTGAGAAATCAAGTCATGGAAATGGCACAGTGAGGAGATTGGCTGGTGGGACCGATGGTGAAAAAGAAGTGATTTGATTGGATTTTCAAAGAGTATGATTCTGATGCAAGCTTCGATTAAGCACTGTGTATGAATAATAAGTAGGATGGAAGGGTGTTTGGCAGTGCTGTTGCTCAAAACAAAACAAAAAAGCCATGGCTTCTAAGATACACTGACTATTGCATTTCCTGTCCTGCCTCCACCCTTCTGCTGACTCCAGTTTCAAAACACAGGTGATTTTTAGCAGGAGTTGATAAAAATGCTGACACTCAGCACCTTGACACTCAGGATAAAGTTTTTTAAAAATACATTTTTTAAATCATAACTTGTTTCCCTTTAGGTTTTTCATTTTGTCAGCAGCAGGAGCAGCAACAAAAATATTTTTTAAAAAGGTGGGGGCAGTGCTGTGGCATAGTGGGTAAGGCCACTGCCTGCAGTACGGACATCCTATGTGGGTGCCAGTTTGGGTCCCAGCTGCTCCATTTCTGATCCCGCTTTTTGCTGTGGCCTGGGAGAGCAGTGGAAGATGGCCCAAGGCCTTGGGCCCCTGCACCCACGTGGGAGACCCAGAGGAGGCTTCTGGCTCCTGGCTTTGGATTGGCACAGCTCTGGCTGTTGCGGCCATCTAGGGAGTGAACCAGTGGATGGAAGACCTCTCTCTCTGACTCTCCTTCTCTCTCTGTGTAACTCTGACTTTCAAGTGAATGGATGAATCTTTAAAAAAAAGGGGGGGGCGTATGCATAGGGGGAGAGCTCCAGCCTTAAAAAAAAAAAAAAACCTCAATTCTTCACACTTGTCCCAAATGGAAATAAAGGACTATCTAAAAGTGCCATTTCCCAATAGGGGCCTGTGGATACCTAAGAAACCAGAGCACTGAGGAGTAACAATAATTCTTGGGAAAAGATGTCAATGATGACATTGACATTTTCTTTTTCTCCAAACAGATCAGAATGAAGGATTTCATTGCAGGGAAGAATGCCGGATTCTTGGCCACTCTGACAGGTGCTGGATGCCCCGGAACCCCATGCCAACCCGCTCCAAGTCCCCTGAGCACGTGAGGAACATCATCGCGCTGTCCATTGAGGCTACTGCTGCCGACGTTGAGGCTTACGACGACTGCGGCCCAACCAAGCGGACTTTTGCAACCTTTGGGAAAGATGTCAGCGACCACCCGACAGAGGAGAGGCCCACCCTGAAAGGCAAGAGGACTGTGGATGTGACCATCTGCAGCCCCAAGGTCAACGGCGCTATCCGGGAGGCCGGCAATGGCTGTGAGGCTATTAGCCCCATCACCTCCCCTCTCCACCTCAAGAGCCCTCTGCCTACCAAGCCTTCTGTGTCTTACACGGTTGCCCTGGCTCCCCCAGCCCGTGATCTGGAGCAGTATGTCAACAATGTCAACAATGGCCCTTCTCGCCCCTCTGAAGCTGAGCCCCGTGGAGCTGACAGCGAGAAAGTCATGCATGAGGTCAACCCCATTCTGAAGGAGGGTTGTGACAAAGAGTCCCCTGGCGTGAAGCGTCTGAAGGATATCGTTCTCTAAATCAGTCTTGGGGAAGAAGAGAAAGAAACCACGCTGGCTAGCGAAGAAGCAGGAGCTGCTCGTTTTAATTGCTCAGCAATGGTTGGTTCTTGAGTGGCTGTATTGCAGAGCTTTGCCTAAATGAGTTGTTAATAAATGACTATCATTCTGTGACAATCCCTCTCGTTTCAACAGGCAGCAGGGGTGTTCAGTTGGAGCAAATTAGCTTTGGCTTGAGTTGTCCATGGGGCCTTGATGTTGGGGAAACAGAGACAAATTCAATTGTGAAAAGTATTATGTATTAAGTGTTTGAATTTATATATTTTTCTATGTCAAAATTATAATATAAATTACCATTGTTTGTGGAGGATTACATTAAAAAAAGCAAAAGTCAAAAAAAAAAAGCTCTGGACACCTTTAGTAAGCTCGCCACTGTTTTTCGTAGTGTAGACAAGTTAATGGTCATTTATTGTGTACTATTCATTGACTCAGTGATGTGAAATTGAGCCCCTAAAAGGTTGTCTCTGAAGCTCCAGTACTTTCCAATGCCGCTACTTTGCTGTGGACACCCCTGCTTTAAGAACCCTTTTGCTAGCTGTGCTATTGTTGTATTTGATATTGCAAATTGCTATGTGTGTGGTGATGGCAAAAGGCTTTTAAAGATTGGTGTTTTTTTTTCTTAAAAAAATAATAAAACTACAGACAAAAACTAAGTGCAAACAGCTGAGACAGCAAATGAATGAGCAACACCACACATATAGATTGAGTACTTGGAGAATACTCACGTTTTTTAACCCATGGAGTGATTGCTCACCACCTTGCAAAGTATTTTTCCTGCCTTTCAGTCTTCTGCCTAGGCCCATGATAGATCATTGCAGAAAGTCGTTTTGGATATGCTGCTATCTAATTTGCAGCTGTCAGAAATACTGTGGTGAAACTTTTATGAGATCCATTTTTGTAATTTTCAGGCCCTGAACAGGAAAGTTGTTCCTGAAGTTATCGGTTTCCAGGCTTAGAAATTCCCTGTCTCCAGTCATTTAAAACTCAAAATGACTGGCTCTATTTTGAGATCTAAATTAGCATCTCTTCAGACACGCACTTCCTGATTCAGTGTTTCCCAATCATGATTGGAATTCTACCGTAAAGCAAGTCATGGGCTGGAATTGAGAACTCCATGTTGCTCTGTATCTTAGTCTTATAAATAACCAACAGAGTAAGCAGTACAAAATGTACATTTAGGAAAAGACAGGTAACAGGTAACAAGCAACAGCATCACAAATTCAATTCCCGTGCCTTCTGAATGGAGACACTCAGACACTTGAACTCGTCTTTTTTATGACTAGTACTTTTTTTGATTAAAAATGTGAACAGGAAACTCTTAAAAACCCTTTACATTTAGCTAACTCTTTTTTCTGTAGACTAGGACTATAACTTTTTTTTATTATTAACAAGCTGCACGTTCTTTTTGGTTTGTTTTAACATCCCTCTAACTTCCCCATTTGTTGTTTGTCTATTAATATTTACTAGCCAACATAGTATTCTTGCAGCCTAAGAGTTTGTTATTTAAAATAAACGAAACAAATATGTCACCTTTGCTCTGCCTTGATCACAAACAGGTTGTTTCTAGAGAAACCAGTTTCTGTGGTTCTGTTCTCATTTTTTTTTTTGAAATTCAAGATTACCCAGAAAGACGACTTAGAGGTTAGAGCACTAGAATGTGAAAGAGGATTTATTTTCTTATGTTTAGGTATATAGATAGCTCTTCTGAAGGCTTTGGTTACTTTTGCTTGAGTTCCTAGCTTTATACATTACTAGGCAGATTTTTCTTTTATGGGAAGGGGAAAGGTTTTGAGTGGGGGGTGGGTGGGAGAGACACTAGGGATGGGGTTAGGTAGGGGAGAACATTTCTGAAAAAGAACCTATAATGAAGCTACAAATCCATGCTTATTTCTTATTCTGTGCTGAATACTACCTCATGCAAAATATTGGTGTGGCTGAAACTTGCCCTCTGAAACTGACACGATTAGAAATCTTCATTTTGCTTATTTCATTCTCCCTCATACATTTTTCCTTCTCTAATCCATTTCATTTTGGTAGCAGCTTATGAATTAGGTATTTATTTCTCTCTGCGAGTGACTATGTGTTTAACACATTAAAACTTAGAAATCTTTCCCTTTATGATGGCTGCCTATAGAATGTAGACTATCCCTCACCCTGATCCATCCTGATAGTATGTTGTTAGCTACCAACTGAAGGTCACTTTGAAGTCAGATTTGACAGTTTTCTACAGGTGTACTTCTTACTATGCTCAGTGGGAACAAGGGAGCTGAAAAGATGGTGGAAAGTGGGAACATGCGTTAGGTGGCTGTTGAGCCTGAGAGGCCACTGGCTGCCATGTTTCAAGTGGTTAGAGTAGCAATGGTATTTGTTTTGCTTTTTCTCGTGGGCTTTTCTTTTATTCACTTATTTATTCACTTATTAGAACTCAGTTCTAATCTCTAGATCCATCTTTTCCCCTGTCCAAATGCTTTGTTCTCAGTGGGCAGTCAGATATATTTTTGGCTTCCAAACCTTTTACTGAGCAAGTTGAGATAATTTTTCTCATTAAGAATATATTGCTTTCTTCCTTCAGATCTTTGATGTATGTGCCCTCTGAGAAGCACAAGTGTATCTGAGGAAGGCTTTGTTAGCTGGTTTTGTAGGCAGGGTGTGCCTGCAAGTAGGAATTTTGTGCAAGGACCCCAAGTTTCCCTTTGGCTCATGTTTCTGCCCCTCCTTTTTAACATGTCCCACAAAAAGCTACAAGAGCCAGAGGGCCAAAGATTCTTTTTCCTCTCTACTTGTGTTACACACTTAAACATGAGGGAACAGTTTCCTTTCCTCAGGCCTAGGGAGCCCTATTCCATTTATTTTGATGTCCCTTTTGAGGAGGAGTCGGTGTTGAAATGTGACACCCTTTACTAACAACTTCCTTTGGCAATTCCCTGGGCAGGTGAACTTCATGCATTATAAGGGGTTCAGTTTGCATTGATTGAATGTTTTTTCTCAATGTGGAAATACAATATAACAAGGACTAGGGAGAAGGGAACCATGCTATGTGGAATTCCTATTTTCTCTTCCCTATATTGACGAATCTACAAACCTGTTCAGAATGAAACTTATCATCCTTTTGATCCTTTTGAAGCCAGCAGGCTAACTTATGGCCGATCTGATTGCTGAAATAGGTGATGGACCAAGGGATCCTATCCTGTACTTCCTGCAGAGCAGTGGTTCTCAAAGTCTAGTTCCTGGGCCAGCAATAACAACATCACTTAGGATCTTGTTAGAAATGCTAATACTCTGTCCCCACCAAGACCAGTGGCATCAGAAACCCTGGGGATGGGGTTCAGCGTTCCAGATGAATCAGATGCCCACTAGTTTAGGCCTTGTGAAAGCACAGCTTTACAGCTGCCTCCCCCAGCCCCCTTAGCTTTCTGATTCAGTTGGTCTGGGCTGGGGCCTGAGTCTTTGACTATCTAAAAATCCCTCAGTGATGCTGATACAGCTGGCCCAGGGCCTACACTTTGAGTAGAACTGCTCCAGAGTAACACTGCCTAAATAGAGCTAATTGCACCTGAGGGGATCCCATTTAAACGAATTCCTGGACGTGGTGACCTACTGAAAAGTAATTTAAAATGTTATAGGAAATACAACTTAGAATTTTGAAAATTGGAACCACCCAGAGTATCATCCCCATGGTGTTGCTTCAGCACTCGACTGATTGTATGAAGGGAATTCAGTTGACTTTTTCTCTAGTGCTATCATATCATCAAAAAGCAAAACAAAAGTGGTCCACTGGAAGGAGCGAAGACAAAGGGCAGTTTGGGGAGAGGCAGGGGTGAATGGGATAGCTCAGCTGGGCATCCAAGGTGAAAAAAGGATTCTTATTGTACATAATAGCAGTTTTGGCTGGAATTCCACTTTGTAGGGATCATTTTGATGTTGAATGCTCCCCAAAGCATTCTGACTCTGGTCCACTTGGCTCTTTACCTAGGGTAAAAAGACCCTTACTGACTTTGAAAAAACTGGCATAAATGAGCTTAAGAAGTCCATTGTATACAGTCCTAGTGTTTGCCTTCTTGGTAAAATTACATTTAAGGTTGTCATTTCATGAGTCAAATTGTATCTGCTGACACTGAAGTGTATTGAGATGTTGTTCTTTAGTTTAAGTATGTAACAAAGTAATATTCAAAGGGGATGTGTGGGGGTGGGACTGGGACCGGGTGGCTTTATATTGATAATGAAATATTCCAGAGCAAAACACATTGTCCTAATGAAGTTGTTGCAGCTCTCTTTGTTTTCTTGTGAGGCTGGAACTGGCCTGTGGGTCATTTGTTGTGCAAAAGTGAATTAAGTTCAAATAGGAATCATGTTGCTTTTACAAAACAAAGAAAACTGACCACCTTGTCTGAACTATATGTATGTATGTATATATATATAAATATATACATATATATAAATGCTCTTGGTAAAGGACAACCCACAAACACCTGATCTTGATTGGAAAGCATTGTAGGTCATTAGGGAAAACTGATGATGCTGACTGTTGCTCCAGCTGCGTTGGCAATTAAAGATGACCTTGTTACTAACTGAAAGTTGCTGTCAACTTTAGCAGACAAACCAGCTAACACCATTACAACACTGGTTAAGTAGAATTTTACTGGCACTGGCTGGCGTTCAGCTGAGGAAGGCTAGGATACAGACTTTAATGACCAAGAGCCAGACTAGCTTGAGCTAGAAATTTCGCAGCAAATACCTCCTTGTGCTATTTGAATGCTAAGGTATTTAGCTGCCAAAGGCTTACGCCTTCGCTCCTCTAGTGAGGGGAATGAGCCTGATGACACTATTACTGTTTACCTGTCAAACCAGGGTGGAAACTGAGAGGGATGCAAGTACAGTATGTCTCACTAAGCAGTCTCTGTTGCTGATTATATGAAGATGAAGTTGTTGTATATGCTGATCTGTATGTTATGTACATTTTCACAGTGATTGAATCATTGTAAAAAGAAAAAAGACAAAAAAGAATCACCACTCTGTCTATTTTATGAAGATGATAAAGCAGCTTTATTAAATTATTACAGTTATGTTTTAAATGGTGTTACCTGCCACATTGTTTCCTTTTATCTGGTGGTTCTCTGTTTCCCTCTTAAATGTGTTTTCTCTGCTTCAAAAATTTAATGCATTTTAGTATTAAAGGCTATTATGGAAAATTATCGAGTGGCGAAATGTGTCTTGGAGAGTGTTGATTGCCTTGGGGGTGTTGGGGGGTGGCTTCTAGACCTAGGGTTTCCTTTGCCTTTCCCATTTCACATAATCACCATCTCTCCAACTAAAAGGGGCCTCTCCCCACAGCCAGACGCCAGTCATTTCCTGATGGAAACCCATTCGCATCCAGGATGGTGAAGACTGTCCTAGGTGGTACTTTCAGCAGGAGCTAAAAGGGTTCTTTAAAAGAAATCGTTTTGGGGGGGCAACTTCCCAGTGGGGCTTCCCTGAAGAATTAATTTTTTAAAAAGTGAGAAATAGTGGAGGCTGACAGCAGGGGAAAAGAGAGTTTAAAACAAAGATGACCTGGCTGCCCCTTTGATGCCTTCAGGTTTGAAAGCGAAGCAACAGGAGAGGCTCTGACTTTGCACGTAGCAAAGCTGCAGAGGAAGCTCTGACAAGCTTTTTTTATCCAAGCCATTATTCTCTGGGACTTAGCAGTTGGACTGTAAGTATTCATTCTGGCTGCAACTGACAGGGAAAAAAATCAGAGTAGAGGAAAAAACGGGGGCATGGCAGAACTTTTCCAAATAATACCTTTAGTGGTTAAAGGCTAAACTACTTCAGCGTGACCTGTTCTCATTAAACAATTAAAATGATGTCAAGGAAATCCACTGTCCCCTGGCTCTCCATCTCACTCTTATCTCTGCTCACCTGTATTAAATTGAGATTGCATCTCATTTCTTAGCAT